CAACAACAACAACAACAATATTCTGAAACAACAATATAAACTAATTAGTCCTTTTATATAGGTGAAACCGATTTCTAGTTTAGAAAGGCTTGCTAATGAATATAGTTGATGTACTGTGAATGAACCAACAGCTAAAATAAAGTTAAAATCAACTATCCTATTGGAACCAGTGGGGGAATTGTTTACAATGAAATAGAAATATGAGATGAGTATTTGGGGAGGGGAATATTCAAGGGGAGAGAATCCTCACTGCATGCTGTAATTCAGCTCATACAAATACCTTCTACTGCAATTATGCTTTCTAAAATCCTTCCAATGTAGCAGGAAGCCATTGTAATCGTATGTGGAAATGACCTTGGGAGACAGGGGGAAGAGCTGCAGCCAGAGCAACAGTCTGATAAGAGGCAGCTTAGCCCACAGCAGGAATGTGGGCATGGCAAACATCTCAGAAGGGACCCTCCCTAGTTTCTTTGGCTGTAAAGGCAATGGGGGAGAAATGTACTTTCAGACTTGCAAGATTCTATTAATGTAACCTTACAATAGAGTTAGTTCATCTGGGTGTGCTTCTTGTTTGGAGTACCTCACAAAGCTGACAGACATGTTCTCAAGTGAGACGTGAAAAAGGATGGATGTTGATACTGGATGTGGCTTCTTTGCTACTGAAGGCCTAACATTCACCAAGGCATGTGGTCCCTGATATACTTGATCACAGCCAATTTGACTCCAGGACGGAATAGATTCCCTACCTAATGGGAAATGTTTTGATGTCCTGGGACTGCATTCAAAATTTGTGGGGTGAATGATGGTCAAAGTAAGCTGAGGAATGATGCAAAATGCGCAGTCATGTAATAAAGCAGGCAGAGTCAAAATTTCCCCATTCTTCCTGGTTTGTTTTTTTTGGGGGGTGGAGTCTCAAAAACTATGATAAAAGTATCATAGTTTTGATGTGATTCCCACCCCAACACTTCCAATTTTCAACAACAGTACCACTGAAATTTGGCAACGTGTTCTGACGTGATTCCAAAGGTTACAGAAAAAAAGAGACTCAAAGGCCACATGCAGCCATGGGGCTGTGGTCCCCTGTTCTATAAACAAATGGATCTCAGCAATGCAGCCTGTTCGCTTTTCCAAACCATCAAAAGAAATGATAGCTAACTAGCCCGCTTAGATTTAGTGAACACCCCAAAGGGAAATGCTTTTATATTCTCATGAGAATTTCTTTGGAAAAACACTCTGGCTTATAATTCTTCCTAGTGCTGGCACTGAGACAAAGAAAATAATTTCATACTTGACTTTTGAAAATGCCAAAAATGAACAAGTTTCTATTTCTCCCATAATATTCTCTTGAATGAAGACAGAATCTGAAAAGAATCAGTGCAATATGTATTATCAGTTTCCATCCATTTTTCTTGGCTGCATAAAAAGTACATAATAAATGGCCCAGAAATATCAAACAACTCTACCATGTCAGTTATAAAGCTGAAAGGCTTTTTAAAATCATGGCCTTAATATATTGTTTAGTTATAAGTAGGAAGTTATGAACTGTAGTAACCCATGTTTGGCTATTCTAGAAGGATGGTTTAACCTTTCTGGGTTTTGTTTTTTAAGAATGCTTCTAACCTTTAGGATTGTGACGAGGAGTAAGGCAACCTATTGAATGTTGCTAAAAATCATAGAAAAGTATCAAGGTATACATTTTACTGGTTAATAAGCTGATATTCTTAGATTCCATTCCATTCTGATTTCATGTCTTGTTTTCTAGGGAATTGGGGAAAGAATACATACAAATGTTTCAACTTACATAAAAATAAGGACAAAACCACATAATGATCCTAGATCAAGGGTATGATTCCTGTGACATATGAGATGCAGTTGAATTAACATTTCCCACCATCTCTCACTATTGTCCATGCTAGCTGAAACAGAGAACTCCTCCAGAACAGCATAGTCTGGAGGGAGAACAGTAGTTCTCCAGAATGTCCCATTCTTGAATCACTGAATTTTGCACATCCTTTCACATCACCATTAGAGGAAAGATGTAGACCTCCCACAAAATATTGGAGCATGAAGTGTTCTTCTGGTTTTTAGGCAGCAATATCTAACTCTGTTCCTTTCTTATATAAATAAGAAAAATATAATTTTTAAATATAAATCCTTCAAACAATAAAGTACTTTCACTTCCCAATCCTGATCCCATTTATCTTTATCATAAAATATAATGATGAAATATAAAAGATTTATTTATACATTCTATCATTAACCAAGAGGTTCATTATTTTGACTTTAACAAACTAAAAATGTTATCACAATAAAATTTAATATTTGGAATTCCAAGGTTTTTTTCACTGGGATTTTGATAGAGGACCTTTGAATCTATTTTTGCTTTTTTGTCATCATGTACAAATTTATTAATCATTTTCCACCATTTTTGAGAGTTTTTTTTTCATATATACATATAAAGGGAGGGGGTGGTACCTCCTGCCTTGAAGAAAGCAGTTCACCAGCTCCTCAAAAGGATGTCCTTGGACCTAATGATTTTAGATAACTATTGTCCTGTCTCCAATCTTCCTTTTTTAGGGAAGGTTGTAGAAAAGCTGGTCAGTCTCCAGTTGAGAACCCTGGAGGGAGTAGCTCTTCCAAAGCATATGTGGGTGATCCCCTTGATCTTTCCAGAGCACATGTGGGTGAACCCCTCAATCTCTCCTTCTTCCAGAAAGATTTTCACCAGCCAGAGCCTGGCTCCTGGCTGCCAATTTTGCCACTGTGTTGCCTCACCGGCCGTATGGAAGCGCTGTTCCTTGCAAGGAGACCACAGGAATCTTTGTGGTCGACTGCAAGTTAAGAGGCTTGTGAGCCAAGGGATTTACAATGTGCCCTTAACCACAGTGCAGCCTTTATGGACATATGACCAGCGAAAGCCTCACTTTCTTAAACACCTTTGGATTTTATTACTTTACAACCTAAGAGAGAGAGATTCCGAATGACAGGGAAGATCAAAGACTCTTGGTGAGTTGCCTTCTTTCTGGGAATTAAGAAGAGGAAATAAAATGCTATCTTAAAGGATTTTAATATAAAAGCAAAAAGCTTAACAAGATTGTGACTCAAGGAAGTTTTAAACAAATAAAAGGAACAGCAATTTTAGAAAACAGAAGAGCAATTTTTTTTCTGATGAAAGTGCTTTTGAAAATAGCAAAATTAATTAGAGAAACAGACCATACCTTCATGGGGGTGCTGATTGTTTATTATTAAGGACAGTAAATAATTGGTGGACTTTACAAAAGAAGAAGAAATGAGTAATATGAGCTAAATTGTGTGACTGTAACTATGGAGAGCTAATTGGGATTCACGTGTTACAAATAAAGAAAACCAAAACAGAAAAAAAAAGGAGAACCCTGGGTTTTACTTTCACCCTAGTAATTGACATACTTTCACTTTCTCATAATGGCAACCACAAAAAAAGTTGCTAAATTAGGAGAAGGATGGAGAGGTTCACTAAAACAACTTACAGATAAGGGCATTTCTCCAGATTTATTGCAGAAAATGTTTGAGGAATTGAGCAAAAAAATGACTGCAACGGTTGCCAATAGGTTGGATGTTTTTAAAAAGGAAATGGAAGAAGGATTTGCAGGAATAAAAAAAGATGTGAAAGAAGAAGTTAAGAAGATTGAAGACTTAAAACAAATTACTGACTAAGTGGAAGTTTTGGAAAGTAAGACAAGTTATAAATAGAGAGGTGGAGAAAGATCTGGACAACCTGACATTACTGGAATTGAGAGAAAAATAATTTTGTTTAAGTTTTAGAGCGATTCCAGAAGAATATGGAGAACATATCAGACAACATTCTAATAAACTCTTTGGGGCAGAGTTTGGTGGAGCCGATGTGGCTGGGTGGAGCCCCACAGTTAATTTGGACGTAGCACGGAAGGTAAGTGGCGCGCAAGGTGAGGGGTGCAAGCTCAAGGAGAGGCCCAGGCTACAGAGAACAACTTTTCGCTCTAGTCTGGGATCTCTGGGGGTGCTTGATGTGTCGATCCCAGACACACGGAGCTTGGTGGAAGTTAGCGGGAGTGTGACGGGGACCAGGAAGAGCTCCGTGCTTGTGCCGGATGATGCACAGAGTGCATGCCCCGAAGAGAGATCAGGACCACGATGGGCTAGAACTCAGCTGGGGTTGAGGCTGAACTACTGCTTGGGGCCTGAAAATTGGCTGGACTGGTACTGGAGCATTAGTAGTGACCAGAGTTGCAGCTAGAGTGACTTGAGTGGGACCGGTGATGAAGGACTGAGGCCTGGACATCGGCCTAACAACTGGCTTGGCATCTGGCACCTGAACAGCAGCTCTGGCCCCCTGGCGGGACCTGAAGGACTTGGAAGCCGGCGGGTTCAATTCCAGACCGAGTGTTGGGGTCCCTCCAGTAGAGGTTAGCTGGGTCTCCCTCCCTAGGGTGAGAGACAGGGAGGGAGTCCATGGGTGGATGTGGGAATGTGTGGGTGAGTGTGTGAGTGTCTGGGCCTGTCCCAGATTATTCACAACCCGACTCAAGACAGTGGTCTCACACCAGACTTGGTTTTCTTGTCAGAACAGTGGCAAGATGATCTGAAGGGGGAGTTACATCTGTCCCCATTGTCATGGCCAGATCATGCCCTGGTGACCTTGAGATTCTCTTATGCTACCCCCCTCTGCAGGGAGGCAGGACCTATTCAACTGGTCTGCCCCCAGCAACTGATGGACCCAACTGGGTTCCAAAGAGAGCTGGGGGTTATACCTGAGGATCTGCTGCACGGCCCAGTGGAGGCCTTGGCCGCTGCCTGGAATAGGAAGGTGGCCAAGGCCTTGGACAAGATCACGCCCGTGCGACCTCTCTTGTTCCATTGAGCCCTACACTCCCTGTGGTTCATGGAGGAGTTGAGGGTCTTGAAAAGGATTAAGAGACGTCTAGAGCACCGCTGGAGGAAAACAAGGACCAAATCTGACCGAACACAGGCTAGAGCCGCTATTAAGACCTACCTTGTAGTGGTAAGAGCGGCAAAACGTCAATATTTCTCTGCTTTTATTGCATCTGCAGAATGCTGCCTGACGGCCCTGTTTAAGATCACCTGATCCCTTTTGGGAAAGGAGGGCCCAGTGGCCTATTTATAGGGCTGCACTTTTCTGGGCATCTGGAGGATAAAATCACTCAGATCCGTTCTCAGTTGGATTCCAAGCATGGGGCATGGCCTATGGAGATGACCAGGGTATGGACTTACCGTTATCTGGGAACAATTTGATCCTGTTGGACCTGAAGAAGTGGACAGGGTCTTCCGAACTGTTATTGCCACCACTTGTCAACTAGACCCATGCCCTCCTAGCTAGTCAAGACCACATGTGGGTGGGTCCAGGCAATGGTGGATTCATCCTTCAGGGAAGGGGTGTTCCCAGTTGTCTTTAAAGAGGCGCTAGTACATCCCCTCCTCAAGAAACCATCCCTGGATCCCACCGTTCAGGACAATTTTTGTCCAGTCTCCCACCTCCCCTTTTTAGGGAAGGTGGTTGAGAAGGTAGTGGCATCACAGTTCCAGAGGATACTGGATGAAACGGATTATCTGGACCCTTTCCAGTCAGGTTTCAGGCCTGGATATGGGACAAAAACAGCACTGGTCGCACGCATGGATGTTCTCTGGCGGGAGCGGGCTGGGGGTAGTGCATCCATCCTCACTCTTCTTGACCTGTCAGCAGCTTTTGATACCATCGGCCATGGTATCCTTTTGGGCCAACTTAGAGAGTTGGGCATGGGCAGCACAGTTGCCAGACAGAACTTTTGAGAAAAGTATTAAAAATATACAAGGTAAACTACCAAATATTTGTTTTGATTTAATGGATAATTTGGAGCTTGTTGATGCATGGACTAACTTCTTTAATAAGAAAAAAACAACTTCTACATTTCTTGGCAATTCGCAACCTCTTATGGACCTTTTGCGTAAAAATGAAAAAAAAATGAACTTGTGATTTATGGCTTTGATGACTAGATAGGCTAGATTATAGAAAGAAGAGAGTCATGATGTAACTTTAGAGAGAGAGGTTAAAATATAATTTTACTTATATCTGCTGTGAAGAATATCGGAAGCCCCTTCTTTATATTTCTCTTTATAACTTGCTCTATTTTCTATTTTCTTTTTCTAATGCACTTTTAGCTGTTTTTGTTCTTTCTCTTTTTTTTCAGTTCTTCTGTTCTAATTTAGTTGTAGCATATCCAGATCTTAGTTATACATGCGAGATTGGCACCCTTATCCACAATTAGATCATGAATGAGGGCATATTTATTTCATACCAACCTGGCATTCAAAAGCAGCAGCTGGAGCCTACCTTGCTCCAAGCAATTTAACTATAATATGATTCCTCGGAGGTTTATGAAAGCTTATCATTAAAAAGGAGACAAGGCCACTGCACACATTCAATATGCAATTTATTCCTCCAAATTCTGGTGAAGTGGACAGCATACATCAATACAATTTTCAGTTACAGCAGAGAACCATAAAACAATATTTTAAAACCTGACAATTCTTATATAGTAAACATGTTCTTTAAATAAATAAATAAATGTTTGTATGTATGTATGTATGTATGTATGTATCTGAACAGAAGAGAAACTAAAAATAGATAATAAAGTACTTATATAGAAATGCATCAAAAATCTCAACCTGAACATCCCTTTCCTTATTTTTTTTAATATTCATAGATCCAAGAACTACCTTTAAGTACAACATATTTGTAACAAATCAATAAACAAAAATATACATGTTTATACAATAGCTAGACATCACAAAATTAAAAAAAAATGTATGCGGCATAACCTGAAAGGAGGAAATTCTTCTTAAGTTGCAAATGAGAAGTGTGTAGCCCATACTATGAAGTGGAACAAAGTATGGATGCATTGAGCACCTGATTACTCAACAGCCCTTAACACCCTTTGTGCAAGCTTCACACCAAATACCAAAACAACTGAAGAAATTTCTGCTTTCCTACTTGCTCCAATATTATTGCTGTATTTAATACCTAAAATTCTTGCTTTAGAACTCTACAGTAGTTTTTCACATGTGAAAGTTATTTTAAAAGCTTTAGTTAACCCTGCATATAATCATTTCACCATTCTCTTTCCCTATATCTGATAAACTAACTGCTGTTGCATGCCACTTTGCAAAACCTTTGCTACCTAGTGGCTCTGATGTAGTTCTTCAATGGGGCAAATACAGAAAATTTACTTTGTTGCTGGGATATATTTCCCATCAGCATATTACTAAGCAAGTGTGCAGCCATGTTTGCAGCTCAAGTAAGAGAGCAGTGTATTAAACAGGAAACCTGCTAAGGAAATGATAACATGAATGCAATATTTCAAATACTTTGAGGATGGCAATATCTTTCTATAAGTCCTTTTTGTATAGTACTACTTTTTACATTGTGCAAATGCTCAGAAAGCAGATGCTAGTGTGTTGAGTCTAAGAAATTTAAAATGGCATTTTCCCCCCAAGCTTGTACATTCTTCACAGAGAACAAGCAGATCTTACAAGGCCAGACATTTCAAAACTCTTTCTCTCATCTGAGTAGAAATGTCTTCAAAAAGGAATAAATTTTTTTAAGTTATACTTACGAGGCATGATCCCTTGACTAACCAGCTCTTCACGTGTCCGTCGTTGCTGGAGCTTCAGCTGTAGCACTGCATGAAGGCAGAGAAAAAAGTAAGTGAAGAGCAGATTACTGTGACATCCACAGGGCAGAGCACATTTTCCTGTTCATTTTTATTTTCTTCTATCTCACAAACATTAGCAAGGAGGAGAGAGACTGTAATCCCCACCCAACACTTGCAAATTGCAGAAGTGGCCTCAGCACCAAAGTTTCCGTGTTCTGTTGCGGACAGTGGGGAGAGGAAGTTACAAAGCATTTTAGTAGGTTGATTTAAAAAATCCACAAAGTATGAAAATAGGCCGTTACTCAAGAATTTCTACAGCAACGAATAGTGTTGCAAATCATGAAACTAGAAAACAAGAAGAGACCACACAATCCGATACTGCTCCAGTAGGATGCTATCAAAACAAAGTTTACTGAAGTATAATTTTATATTCACTTGGTGGAAAAAAACCCTGGAACATGCCAATTTCGGACTATATCCACGATCATCCTCCATCTTGGCATCTTGGCTGAAGCTGATACATGATGAAGTTTAAGACATCTGAAAGTTACCAGGGTTATCTACTTCTGATGTACACTAAACATGTATCGCTAGTGAATATCCATCAGGATTACTTCATCCACATCTGCAAGTTGTACTATCTTTGCTTGTTTCTTCCTTTCTTTCTTTATTAAATGTATGTATGTATGTACAGTACTGTGCAAAAGTTTCAGGTAGGTGTGAAAAAATGCTATAAAGTAAGAATGCTTTCAAAAATATATATTGTAATTGTTTAT